CCCTTAGGGGTGTTTAAAGAGGCCACTCCATTTAAGCCACCCCTTTTTAGAGCATCTTTCCCCTGCACGCAACAATGGACTGGCCAGTAGTGCTATAAAATTCCTGCAGTGTGGAGATGAGGGGGGGTATGAGTTGCTCTTGGGCAGAAGAGCACACAGGATGTCACCCATTTTTGTGATGTTTTGTTTATGTGTTAAATGCTAGATTGTGTCTGTTTATATCTACACCTTTTTTGTTTAAACTTAATTGATTGTATTACCCATCTTAAAACTGTACATATATTGGGTAAATAAAATCCTTATTTTTGCACCTCAACCTGCATTCCTGATTTTTGCGTACCCTGGTCCTTCACAACCATCGGTTGATACATTAAGAATGTATGCTTTCAAAATCCCACACATTATCAAAACATTGAAACACATTATACTTATATTTTATATCTACTTAGAAAATAAACCCTATATCCTACGGAGCCCCTAAACTAAAGGGACGTGAACAAAAATAAAAAACAGAAAACATTTAATAAATCAGGATAACGGGTTAGTATCTTGTGCGAATGACAGTGCATACATTAGAGATATATTTCGAACTCGGACTTAATTTTAAGGACATTTCGCCCAGGGGTGTAGAGCTATTTGTTTAAGCACCAGATTTGCAAAACAGGACAGTCTGTAAACCAGTCTGCCTTGATCTATGAATTCCTGTCTGTGACTCTCACAGTATCTTCTGCCCACAGCTGTTTTATAGAAGGAAAACCACCTTCACTTCATGAAATGGCTGCAGCACCAGGAGGCAGAGGGACGTGTCACTCACCCTCTGAGAAGTGCAGCTCCACCGCGCAAAGAGCTGTGCCTTTTACGCACCGTCTTCACTGTGTTTACCTTCATTAGAACAGCTAAAGAGCGACCGCAGGCTGCTACGTTTTAACCACACACATACACACATCAAACTGCCAGATTATTACGCTCTATAATTAGTTTAATGTAGGAGATGTCGGGTCACCAAGGCGCATGATGTGTGTCTGTTTGTGCTCTGCTCAGCTCCGCTCTGTGTGTATGTGTTCGGTCTCTCTCCCTCTCTGTTTTGTTATTTTTTAATGTCCCTATAGGGGCTCCGTACTATCCCACCAGCATAATTTGCTTACATTTCATGACCAAACATACAATTAAACAGTCAAACTTTTTCCTTACTTTTACAATAAAAAACAAAACAAATATTTACATCCACTGTTAATAAAATGTCTGAAGGAAGTAAAAGACTAAGTGTTCCAAATAATGACATTTTTCTAGATCATTTACATAATAATGAAATATGATCTTGCTAAATAAATGAAAATACCTGATCCTTTTTTCTGATCCAACACGACACTACAGGAGGACTGCCAGTGAAGGAACACGTCAACCTGGCAGTTTGTCCCACCTTCACCTCCAGGTGTTGTGGAGGGTTTTCAAAACGTAATGCTGGACCTTCAAAGAAGAATAGCAAAGTGAGCGTTTTGACTCGGAGCCTTGGTTAGACTTAAGGCCTTAAACATCAAACTGAAAGGAAACTATCCAGTACTGTGTCTGAGAGAGATAAAGACAGAATGAGAATGTGGTTTGTCTTGTACTATTGGACTGGGGGTGTGTTACTTCCCTTGAAACCCTTATTATTATACAGCAAACTCAGTGTCTCAACTGGAAACAAATACAAAACGCAGATGATATTTTCCACACAGTACCTGGGTTTTGGAGCGTGTTCAACAATGTTAAACTAGTTCACGATAGAAGACACCTATGAATCCCACTTGTTGTTTTCAATATAGAATTACTACAAATATCAAGCAAACAAACAAAACACATTTTTTCTTTTTTCTAACCACATATTAACAATAGACTAGAACAATTCCATATATGAGCATAGAGTCAACATCATCACTCAGTCAGTATTCAAATACTGTGGCATCAATTTGACTGGAGACATCTGATAGGCTTTACAGTTTATCTATTTAGAAGACATGCTAAATTATTCGATCTAACCCTCTAGCCATTACTTCAACTTGTTCCAATCCATCAAACCACCTTTTTTAAGACATATCCTATGCACTCATAACAAACATTCAGACCTTACTGTGTTATCTTTTCATGCCTTTATTGTTGCAGCCTACACCCTGGGGTTAAAGGTTTCCAGTGTATTGGATAACAGTAGATCAGAGTTAGCCAACATTATTTCTATAAACAAAGGCTGAACAAAAAGAAAATTCCAGGAAAACCAAAACAGAATCAGAAGCAACTCACACACAGAAAAGGCTCTAATGAAAAAGTTGAATTTTCATGAACAAGCAGAAATCAGACAATATAGCATTGAATAATAAGAAATGGAAGTGTAGGTGGACGATGGAAAGACCGATGCTTAGTCATCTGGCAGAGAAAGTAAATGAGGAAAAGGCTTCTCACCTGTCGCTGAGTTGGCTCTCTTCTTTGGGATGACTTCTGCAGAGACAGATGAAGTGCAGGTAGGTTTTAGTATATGGTGGAGGTGTGGCTCTGCTGTTCTATTGCTATCTGTTCACACACTCAGCAACTTTTACTGTACTGTGCACTGTCCACTTCCCTACATGGCGCTCACTTGGGACCGAGAACTTTTAGTGGGTGTATGTCATTATTGTGGAAGTCCTACATTATCCCTTCATGGTGAAGCCTGACAACCAATTACACAAGGACTGGAAATGATGCGTTTCCTATTTGTTTGAAAACCTATCATGGATGTCCGGAAGAAGTTAAAACAATGGAAAAGAGGCCTTACATGTCTTGGTGCATCAAAACATTAAGAGAGGAAGGAAGCTGCATTGTACAGTATGTTCAATTTGGGAAATGAATGATTTACCTCTTGGAATGGAGACCGGGCTGAGCTTATCAGAGCCTGCAGTGGAAGAGCAAATAGATCCTCTGGTCTTCTGTTGCTCGTCTTTGGGAGACAGTGGTGGCCTTCCATTCGGCACCATGCTCTTGGATGGAGAAGTTTGGATATTTGAGACACGACTCTGCGACCCAAAGATAGTTTCAAAGTCTGGATTGGTTTTTGGTAAGAGGAAGAGAAAAAGGAAACTCAGAACACAATGAAACTCCTAACTATTTTGACCAGAGTAACTAACAGAATAAATATTCCACATCTTGCATTGCAACCTCTAAAAGGCAGAGTTTACGAGCTTCAAATTTGTGTTGTAGACTTATGTTTTAATGTCCATTATAAAGCAGTCTCCAGTGTGTCCCAGTGTCTCCCTCCTCACCTCTGACATACACAGCAGCACAACAGGATGTCTTCCCTGCACTGTTCTCTGCCAAGCACGTGTAGGCGCCCGCATCTTCAGGCAAGCACTCCCGCACCACAAAACTCGTCTCCCTGCCATTAAAGGAAGGTTTTCCAAAACGGGCCACTTCACCTGCCCATAGGAGGAGAAACAAATTAGAAACACTTGCATTCTCTGGCTAGGGAAATTCATGAGGAAAAGACAAGGCATGTGAAGGAAGGAAGGGCTGAAATTGACAGAAGGGTTTAAAGGGGCCCTATTATGTTCATTTTTGGGATTTCATAATTATATTTTATACCTCTAATTTGACATGTTTACATGTTTTAATGTTCAAGAAGTGCTTTATTTTTCTCATACTGCACCATCTCTTTTCACCCTCTGTATGAAACCAGAGCCCAGTCTGCTCTGATTGGTTACTGGTTTGCTCAATTGTGGTTGGTCAACCGCTTAGAGATGTCCTGGCCCTTAGCCTATCACGCTAAAATGTGCGCAAGGACGGAGCGCAAAGGACCACGATCAGCGTTTCAGGAAGGGGTAGGGAGTGTGTGGGAGAGAAACTCCCTCTGGAGGGAACTTTGGGATTTTAGACTTTAAAGACCTTTGCAGGTTTTATTTATGATAGATATCCCTAAAAAATGACAAAACATTTTTGGCTAAGTGAAGAGTAAAAAAGGGGTAGAAAATGTGTCAAAAATACATCTAGAAAGTTTACATTTACTGTAAAGGTGCAGACATGAAAACATACAGTAGAATAGTCTGTTATATAAGCTTCATTGTGTTGGGATAAGCACAAACAAAAAACAGTACATCTAAATAGGAAAAGGAGTTGATCTATGGCAAAACTAAAGAGTTCAAGAGGTTAACTGGCAGGATAACGACCTGTTATATAAAATATGAGTTATTGGCTGTATAAGGGCCTTCTACTTTAGGTCAACATCTGACCCCAATCGATAATCAAGATGTAGCAGTTTAAATTGTTCACTCACCATTGTGCAACCATGACACTTGAATAGGCTGACCTCCAGTCAGAGCCCCCCGCAGTGTGACGTCATTCCCTTCATCCACACAGCAGTCCTGCAGCGGCTCTATGAAGACGGGCAGATCCAGGCGTTTACGAGCGGAAAGGTTAACAGACCCTGAATGTGGAGTAGAGGGGTGAAAAAAGGTGAGGGGTCAGATACACAAAGCAAGAGCAACACACACAGAGTTGTAACCCCTTGTAGACGATGCAGTTCTGTGAAGTCTTAAAACCCTTGATAAGTGTGTGTTGCTCTTCACAGAACTGCATATAGGTTTGGATAAATCATGTTTTGAATCGTCTTATTTTAGTTCTTTAACTCGCTATTTATTATATATTTATGACATCAATTTTGGACACAAACTTTATTATAGTGTGTGTTTTTACTTAATTCACACCTTTTATCATCACACTCATACTCTTAAATTAGAAGTAACAGCCGCTGGAAGTGCTACAGATGTGATGGGTGTGTATGTTCTATCCTCTCAACTAGCCAAGCTGTTACAACACTTTTAAAAACACATTTTAATTTGTTCTTCCATCTTTCTTTCACATGAATTCTAGTCTCCACTGCCCAAACAATAGCAAAGTACTGACATCAGACATCTGCTTTTGTGTTTTTTCTTTTTTTTCTTTTTTTTTTATGCAGTAAGGATATCAGAGATTAATCCTTGCTTGAAACACGGGGGTGGGTACACCAAGGATCTGCACTCCCCCTGATGTAGCGATGCTTCATTCAGCACATAATCTGAACCACAGGCTGATATTGAGTGGTATCACCAGTAAAATGCATTGTTATTAAAGAGGTCTACAGCTGTAGTAAAGTAACTTTCCGAAACATTGTGTAAAATAGGTTATAAATACCATGCACAATAAACTAGTTATGGTTTAACAAAATATGTGTTTTAACAATCAACCTTTAGTCAGAGGAGGATTTTCACACCCTTGTCACATCATGACTCTTTGACCCTTCCTTTGACAAGACTTAAGCAGACCTAAAAGCTTCCACTGGCAGGTCAGTGATAACCGATAAGCTGAACTAAAGGCTTAAAGGCTGCTCTTATATCATTGGAAATGGCCATGCTGAAACAAGTCTGCTTTTATCGGTTCCTGATGTTTTAACATGTAAAAGATAATGTACAAGATTGTCATCTGCCAGACAAATGTGGGTCATAACATCTGCTCGATGACGATTCACACTGAAAAAAGCATGTCTACTGGAGTACTGTACTTTAGAGTTACTTGAATTTACTTCAATCACTCATTGTATGCAGCTTTGCATTTCTACCCCAATACATTTCAGATGGTATATTGTACTTTCTACACCACTATGCTTGCCTGACAACCTTAGTGGCTATTCTTAGTTGCCCCTTCCTGTGCAGCAAATAACATGTATCTCTAGATGTGTTGATTTGAAATGTCTGTGATAAACTGAGGGGAGAAGTGATCTGATCTGCTTTTTAATCCAAATAAATTGTTTAAAAGGCTCTTGAATCTGCTGAAAATGCATTCTCACAAAGCTGAAAACAGGCCTGTTTTTCTTTTAGCTTACACACAATGATGAAGCAGCAATATTGAGCCAAACCCATCATAATTATAGTACGACCATGACAGTAACTATTTTACTGCACGATAACTACTTTCGCTTTATATTGTCATTGCAAATAACACCCAGTTATACTTAAAATATTTGATATTCAGTGTGGAGATGCAAAGCAATCAAGTAAAATATTTGGCCATTTCAACACAACCCTTAATATTGGCTTAGAAAAACAACAAACATAACACCAGGAGAAAATAAAAGCAAGGGTGTTTTAATAGTGCACTTTACTTTTATCAGGAGTCATCACCATGTTCAGACTTGTATATAATTAAATATGAGATTTAAAACATAATTCCTAGCAGTTGAGCTCTTTCCAACACAAACACACACCCTGAAAGTATTAATCTCCTCTCTCTGTCATGCAGCCCTCACCAGTGTCAGGACATGTGTCTGCGATCCTGCTGTCAATAGTTCCCGGCCCATTCCCTGATGTAGGCGATGCACTGGGCTGCTTGATGTGCATCCTGAAGGTTGACACATATCGCTGTTTGCTGCCATCACCATTCATTTCTGTTCAAGAACACCCCAGGCCTCTGAGCGGAAAAACAAATAGTTCACACAGTCATTTCCCAAGCTGATTATCACACTTCCCTTCTCTGTCACTGCCTCTGCAGCTAGCTCCGTCTCTCTCTTCTGTAGAACTAACACTCCCTCACACTTCTCTGCACATGTTAACCTCTTTTCGCACCCTCCCCTTATCTACACAAACTCCACCTACATCACAAATCTTTCTCTTTGCTTTGGCCTTTTTTTTAAGGCACAACAGGCTTATCAGTCAAAGTTACACTAATGCCAAATCCCACACCCACTGCTCAAACCCCTGTCTTTATTACCAAGGCTAATAGACACACATGGCACATAAACAAGGAAAGGCAGAAAAGAGGGAGAGTGGTAGGAAATGGGGGAGGACTTATCTACTCGCCCAGCCAAAGGCCGTATTGTGTGCTGTTTGTCAAATGCGCTGCTGTTTATTGATTTCACAGTTTGCCCTCTCACTTATCAATGCTGCCACTGAACTTTGTGATGTCAGTGACGTTGGCGTTGCAAAGGTTCACCTCACGCCTGTGGATTGTTAAACATGTGATTGTGAACGACAGGCTTGTAAATCCTATTCAGCTGAGGTATATCCCAGCACACACAAGGGGGCTATTACCACGGTAACAGCGTCACTTGAACAGATCCACCTGCTCCTATGGAAACCAGGGATGTCTCAAGAGGGGGCCTGCTGTTGTTCTCATGATGAACACTTGCTATTTAGACCCTACAGATCACACAATCTGCCTTATACATTATGGGATGGGAGGACATATCGACCTCAGTGAACACAGCAGAAGCCCTCTGAGGTGATTATAACATCTCGTTCCACTCCCGTCCCAGACCCCTGAATTCCACATCAGTGATCACAGAGAAAAGCACTGTGAGGGGCTTGTTTTAGTTTCTGTCAGGGAGGAATTTCCAAATCAAACATTTACAAAAAGGCTGAACACACAGAGTCGCCATTGTCAGGATGATGATTTTTATACATTTAGTTTTGGAAGTAGATTTTGGCAAAATGTGTGGAATTCCTAGCTTTTTAAATATAGCAGAAGTTATATTCAAAGTGCTGAAAGTAGCCTATAGCAACTTCTTCTTCATATCACATTCTTACAAGTTTAATCCGCACATCATTGTTTTGATTTCACTAATTTTGTACTATAAAAAATGAGAGTTACTCAACTGATTACGAAACTATCCTAAAACTGCTGATAAAAAAAAAAACATAACCTTTTTCATACACACCTTATTAATTACCCCCATAGCCACAGGCTCCAACTTGCAAACTTATTCAAAATCTGTCATATCTGTCAGATTATTCATGGCACCTTACACACACCGTCTGTGTGAGTGATTCAATTAAGGACTACAATCTGTTAGCTTTGGTGTTAATGGATCCTGCAGGTGACGCTAATAATTGTTTCGTTATTATGAGAAGATTGTCACAGTACCAAAGCAAATAACCATGAGCTGCATATTATGATTGACACATTACCTCATGAGGTCTGACTCAAAGCTCTAAATAATATCTGACAGATTCCTGTGAATAAGAAAGCACACGGAAAGAAAGAGCTGCTCATTAAGAGGAAAACTGTGATAATGCTGCATCTCTCCCACAGAGCATCTTTCCCACAGAGCATTGGCTCTGGGAGCATAATTAATGTCACAGGGCCACTTGCACACAATAGAGTCTAGACCAGGAGGAGGCATGCTGACTGACCCAATAATCTACTTCCCTGTCTAGATTCTGCAGCTGTAAATGATATGCATGCAGGTTGGTATGTATGTGAACGTCTGTCTTTGCAGAACTATCCAACATTACTCCTGAATCTAAACACGAAGGGGGAGATGTAGACTACAGATAGTCACAGCAGACTGAAGAAATGGATTCAGTCCTTGGAGAAGAATCTTCGTAGTGCATCAAAAGTTAAAGTAATGCAATGTGAGTGACAATGAAACCTAACAAATGTAAAAAAAACAAAAGAGATGGATTATGAATAATTGTCCTACGAAAGTTAGAACAAATACGACTGGAACTGTTTGCATCAGATATTAGACATGTAAACCCTAAGAAATTAGGAAGTAAGATATATTGGGCCTAGCAGACTATTACTTCTAACCGGTAAAGGAACCCGTAGTTTCTTGATATATTTGAGGAAGTTGTTGCACATGCAAACTTCCGCCAATACTTACATCTCCTTAGTCACAAAAACTTAGGGTGTTTAGCAAATCATTTTTCTCTTATATCAAGATATATCTTAATGGTCATAAAGCAAACAACATGTAATTCTGTCACATACATGCTAATGTTACATTCAGGTTGAGTCAGTTCTCCAGTAAAATTCAGACAGTAAAATGTGGCAGTCAAAGGGTTAAACAAGGACTCCTAAAATAAGGATCTAAAACTGCAAGTGTTCTTCAGAAAATGACATCTCTCCACTGTGGCTGCAGCAGTAGTCAGCCCTCACACCATCAGAATGAAGACACTGGCTCCACCTGGAGGACAACTACGTACATGTTAACTGTAGCCCATAATGCTTCTTTCTTATATTTTCACTCTGTCAATGCAGCAGTGTAACTGTATTTAATACATTCTATATTGTAAGAGGGATCCAATAATCTCCCTTTACTTTCTAGAAGCTTTTTCTAAAGGTTCATATGTTATATTTCATTACCTGCAGCATTTTAAATAGAAACAGACTAGAAAACCTAGCTAGCATAACACCAATCTTTACAGCTACATCGTGTCATTTCCTGCTGATTTAAAAAACATTCTTTAGTCTCACTGGGACCTTTAGAAGAGACAAGGATGCTTCATTCCCGGGCATAAAAGTAAAACACTGTACAGCACCTTGTGGATCCATCATTACTATCATATTTAAGAATTTCAGATGCATACAAATACTTAGAAGGGAACCTAAAATAGCATATTAACATCTCCCATCTTCACCTCTGTGACCAATGTTAAAGCTTCATGTTATCGTTACCATATCAGCAGTAGAAAGTATATTCTTCAAGATACACTTGAGTCTAATAAACAAGTCAGATGCCCCATTAAGAGGTCACATGATCACACCTGATGCTTGGATAGGAAACGCCTCCTTACCCTTTAACTACCAGACCAAGAAAAAAGCTATGGAAAAAGTATTTGTTAGCATTTTTTTATCAAATGGGACACAAATAACCACAAACAATTTTTAATTTTGGTAACTGACCACACAGTTTTGTTTTTATGAGCCCCAACCGCCTCAACCAACTGGTCGAGCTGGCCTTTAAAAGTGCATTTTCAACAATCATCATGTACATATAGAGAACCGCAGTGACGCGTCGTAAAACCCGGAAGTAAACTTCTTCCGGTTCCTTCGCGAAAAACCAATGCAAATTCTCCATAGGATTTAGGAAAATAGCTCGAAATAAGGTCTGTGGTTGACACACATTTAAGAGAGGGATCACGTTTTGTTCAGCCGGATAATCTCCACATGTCAACCCTACTTTTATAATTTTTGAATCATAAATCTAGTCGCCAAAAGCGAAATGCTAACGTTATGCTATAAACGAACTACAAGCCAGTACAGCAGCAGGGTCGCACGACTTCAACGTCACGCCAATTTAAGATCGTTTCAACTGACTTGCACTGAAACTGCACTTTGAACACTTTAAATATATTAACATTTTAAACTGTATACCCCGGTTATCTNGGAAAAGAGGTGGGTCTTCAGATGGGACTGAAGTCAGTTGGTAGAGGCTCATAAAAACAAAACTGTGTGGTCAGTAAAAATAAATAAAAATGGCTTGTGGTTATTTGTGTCCTTTTTGATTTGATACAAAAATCCAAAGAAATAATTTTTCCATAGATTTCTTCTTGGTCTGGCAATTAAAGGGTTAAAATATGATTATTTCTCTGCCCCTAGTTCATTCCTCGCAGATTCTTCAGTCTCATCAGCCTCATCTTTCCATCTATCCCAGTCAACTCATCAGTCTCCAGCACACTTTCCGTGTCAGGCTCCAAAGATATATTGTCCTGATGCTGTACAAGGGTGATGCCCCATGATCAAAAAATGACCCCTGTAGAGTCTGAGTGCCACTGACCTCGACATGTCACTTGTTAGTTGCTTTTACCTTAAAGCGACTTACATACACTCAAATTAATACTGTGAACAATCCTCACAGGAGCTATTTAGGTTGAAGCCCAGGGACACAACGACATGTTGACTGCAGTGGGGATTGAACCAACACATCCTCACTCCCAGGTCGGCCTATGTTGACGTTATGTCAAGTCCCCTGTGTCGGCTTTTTCCAACGCAAGGGGGGCGGCCCTTAGCGTACATTTTCAACTTTCCGGGATGTCCATAGGCTTCTATATAGCTCCCTAAACGTATGTTGTAGATGACTTGAGATCGCGAGCGAATGCTACCCGCAGATCCATTCTCACAGCGTTTATATTTTCTTACTCAATATCAAGCCACACTTATTGTTTTTACTTCTTTATTTTAATTGAATAATGTAGGACTTTTGTTGCCGTCAGTTATGGGGAGAGTAGGGGCTCAGAATACTGAAATCTGTATCTGTATTAATGGACGTGCCGTTGTGCGTTGTTGCCAGGCAACGCAATAATTTACAAACTCTTCAACTACAACCCTAATTATATTTATAAACATTTTAGAAGGCCTCACGAAATACTTTAATGTAAATGAAAATTTAAATGTGAAGGGATGTGTGTAATGTGGTGATTACATTATTCACCCACGGATCTATGGGTTGGGGTATTGTTCCGCACGGACATTTTAGTTAACCGGACTTCCTGTTGATGTGAAATACGAAAACATTTTAAAAAAATAAAATGATACTTTATTCCGAGTTTGCTTGATTTTCTTTTTTGAGGTCATCACATAACGGCATTTTAATACATGGTTCGGCTGCATTAAATATTACATATCTGCTGTAGTTCGCTATTTATAGAGCCCTGATGAGAAGACTTCTAGACAAACATGAACAACTGCAGCCGAAACTGAATATGTGACTTGAATCATAAATATATCATCAATCAAACAAAATCTTCAATTTCTCTTCACAATATAAGTCTCTTTGCAATATCAATACTAATTCGGCTGACTTTTATATTTGAT